AAAAAAAAAAAAAAAAAAAAAAACCCTCATAAATGACAAAAACGAAATTAATTAAAATGATATACGTATGAAAACAAAAAATAGAAAACTTTTTGCTTCTGCTGCTGGTAATCGAAGCCTGACTTCGTGATTGTGCTGCTGCCACTGAGGCACTCTAGTGGAAAAATAAGCCAAAACAAAAGGGACGATAAGGAATATTTAGGGCTAGACAGACCAAAGAATACCCCGCATGAAGTAAGCACTGGAAGGGAAGACATAAGGATATTGTATTATATAATAAATATAATACTAATGAGAGAAATATTTACTTAAATTACGGCAGGAATCATCTATTTCATAGAGTGCTGCATCTTTGCAAACATGTCATTCAGAGCGGCTTCTTCCGACTGCCAGAGGTGTTGTACAGGGTACAAATATTTCTCACACATAAGCACAATGCGGTTCTGTACACACACACCCACACACACACACACACATACAATGTTGCTGTTCTTGGCTGTGAAATCGAAGTAAAGTTTGAAATAAACCCAAAGAGCAGAAGCAAAGGCAAGAGCAAAAGACCGAGCCAGTCTGTGTGGCACTCTGCGGCAGTCCCGAGTGGCAGAAGGCAACTCGCATAGTTAGCAAAAACCACTAAAAGTGTCATAATTCGATGCCCATGAGATGCCTGTCTCGAAAGTACGTTGGCCAAAAACTTTGACGCCGATAATGAGTGCCAGGTTGCGTCTGTTGTTCTGCCAATGGCAGAGCGCCTCGGGCCGGCCGACGATGCATATCAGCAGTCCGTCCGCTTTCAGCACCGCCTGCTGACCTCGCCGCATAGCTGTCACAGGCCGTCAGCTCCTCACCGACTGCGGCCGCTGTCCACGCTCCTTGCAGCGTCTGCAAAGTTGCACGAGCATCGATTCGAGCCGAATCGACTCGAGTTGAATCGAATCGCATCGCATTGCTTCGATCCGCCTGCAGCTGGTCCTTGTTCCCAAGACTGCATTTCGAGCATTGCTTTACAGTTGTTGACATAAATCAAAGGCAACACACAATCCTCCAATATGAAGTCGGGCGAGCCTCCCACACTCACTCTGAGCATGCCGTAAGTTTAAGCAATTTATACTGGAATACTTAAAGACGAATAATGAAGAGACAAGCATTCCCCGGAAAATTCTTAGGAGCTTCGAATTATGGTTAAAAAAATTACTTGTATCTTTATTCAAGGGCAAAAAATCTTCTTCAAAATATTCATTTTCAGGTAAAAATTTTCAGGATTTTTAATTTCCTCCGTCCGACTCTGCATCCGTCTGTTTGTGCGTCCATCCGTCCGTCTGCCTCATACAGATGAGTGAAAACAAAACCAATATACTTATTTCACTTTTGCGAATGAGTATAATTAGTAAATACTATATCTGGCACCCTAGAAATATTACCATTCACTTCTAAATTATTGTAAATAAGTTTTTAGTTCTACAAATTAAAAATTCTACAAATGGCGAATTCCATTAATGTTGAAATAATACCTTTTGAAATTTCTGAAGCTTTCCTAAAGTGACTTAGTCTGTTCCATCAGCTAGAGCGGAAAATGACTTCGATGCCAATATCCGATTCCATACATTTGTCATCTATAGCTTACCTGATATTCATTTTTTGCTCATACAAATCACCGTCATCCAGACTGCGGCTCTTCCCTTTAGATAAGTTAGAAACCTTCAGCCAAAACAAAATGGTAATTATTGTAAGAACCAGAACAATCTACAAGAGCTATGTACACCAGCTGTTAGCTCCCTTCAACGCAGTTTATTCGATGGAAATTTGTACAATAAATAGTTATGGTCAGAGATATGTACAAGGTCTTATGCTAGCTCTGAGCTCTAAATGGTCTTCTACGCTACTTATAAGTTAGAAATAATAACAACCGTAACATATGTACACAGGTGAGTTAATTAACGCGCTATCAACGCCCACAAATAAACAATTTGTATAACAACTACAAGAATTAAGGCAGTGGAGAAGAGAGGTTGTGGGAGCTCTGGTCTCAGCCCAGGCCGAGACTCTTCAGCTTGTTCTTCTTCTCGACGCCCACGCTGTTGGCAAACTGCTTGTCCGCCTCCATTTTGTATTGCTGAAGATTGTAGTGGGTCGCCTGCAACAGAGCAAACAGAGCGAAATAAAGGCGTATACACGACCATGGACAGGCGACTTACATTGAGGGCGTCTTTGAACTCGATCTGGGCCAGGCGCTGTACGCCGCGGAAGTTACGACCCAGGATACGGCCCAGCTCGTACCGGGAAATGGCGAAACCCTCTGTCGTTGTTCTCACTGTCTGATCATCTTCGTCACTGGACGGCTGTAAGTGAAATATATGATATGATGAATTATATAATCAATATAACTCATGAATAATTAAGAAAGTTACATTCAGATGAAAAATAAACAATTTTTTAATTGAGGAACACTTAAGAAGGAAACCTGCAACATTTGCAGTTGCCTTTTATTTTCATTTTCCGCAGAAGGATAACTCGAATGTCTCACTCATAAGTAATGTCGGTGGTATTTGGCAACTATTTTGAGATGCAAATAAATAAATAAAATAAATATGAATAATACAAACAAAGGGTAGGCATCCAAAAAAAAAAAAAAAAAAAATGAAATTATCTGTAGGAAACTTGAAACTGAAATTACGAGCTTCTTCTGAGCTAAAAAAAAAAAATAAATAAAATGAGTCAAATGAACGAAAATTGATATCGATTTGAATCTAGGCCAGATAAACTTAAAGTTTTTTTTTTCCCATAACTTTAACTCATAATAATTATATAATAATTACATAATTATATATTATCTATAAGACCTATAGGCTGATTTAGAATATTTGGATATTTATAGTTTAATTTTGTTAATATTGTATTTTCTAAAACCTTGAGAAATATGGTTTTCCGATTTATCCTTCTACCAAGTAGCATACATATAATTAATTTTTTTATTTATTTATTTTTTGTATATACTATATATTTGTTATCTTTTGCTGTCAAGGCATGTATTTATTAAAAAGAGTATAGATATAAAATTGTTTTCATTTTAGGAAGGGACGGAGCGCATTGCTAAATACTCTGAAGGAGCTGACAAGGAACTAAGTTTTCGGTAACAATGGGAATTTTTCAAGCTAACCTATGCCCACATATAGATACATATAAATATCTAGTATATACCAAAGCTACTTGGCATCTGTACATCTAGCGTCTTACCAGCCTTTCAGTTGTTACCCTTGGCTGAGATGTCGGTTTCGCTGGGGCGGGATCGCTGAACTGCTCATTTACGGTGTTGTAGATGTCGTTCAGAGTGTTTCGCGTGTCGGTGTATTGCTGTCGGGTAATGTAAATACATGAATTTGTAAAGAACTCGTTAAATTACAATTTAGCTTGGCTCACATACATCGACAATCAGATTTTTGGTTATGACCATTTTCTGAATGAAGTCCCAGAAGATGCCCCGCTTGCTGCGACTGTGCGGCTCATCGCTGGCAGCCACTGGAAGTCGCTCCTCCTGGCCAGTCGCAGTAGCCAGGCCCAGCACCAGCAGCCAACTGCCTAGCAAAAGCAGTGCTAACAGTCGATTGGCTCTCATATGACTCATCCTAAAAATTAAGAGCACAGTTGCAATTTTAACAATATTCATTCAACTGCCGTATGCGAACAGGTAATATTTTTTTTTTTTTTTAATGGTATGGCATAAAGTTGACTCAGTGAACAGACTTCAGCCGAGTATTGGAGTATTGGACCATCAATCAATCATATAAAACGAATGAGTACGAGAAAACATGTTGCTTAAAAGGAAAAGTAAGATTTATTTGCTGCAAGAATCTTTCTAGTTGATAGTTGTAAAATTGTCAACTTAAAGATTGTTGGTCTGTATCAAATGAATACGTTTTCGTAGAAATTTACTAATGAATTCGAAACCAGAGTAATCTATGAGATTTCAATAATATCCTATGATGTAGAATATGCCCTAAAAGCACAAAAATAATAAATTATTGAACATCTGAAAAGATCCCGAGTTAGATATCCTTGAATATCTTATTTATTTCCAAGACTGTCCAGAATACGTTATCCGATATCTAGATTTAGATTATATTTTAGATTAGCTTAAAAGATAAATTTGTCGGGGCGCTACGTTTTTCATTAATGTTTTTCACTATAGTTGCGCCTAATAACGAGTTCCTGGTGTCGCTTAGCTCTTTTATAAAGCTCTTTCTTGCTCAATTGTCTATGACCTAGTCTTCACCAAGCTTGACCAAGTCTCTCTTCTTCTGTCAAAACCTCTAGTTCTGCTTGTATATTCTTGTTCATCGAAAGCATAGCAACCCTGTGTGAAGGACATTACTAGCCGTCTCGCTCTCACTCAGCGACACCCGGAACCGCGTTCATCAGCAGCTATAGTTATCTCTCTCCTAGGGACAATACATTCTTTAATTGCACTACAATACTAAATCAATCTATTATCGTGAATTGCCAGCGTAATATCCCACTGACACGACAAATATAAATATTCTAAAATATCCGATATGATAAAAAAATATATATATACATTATTATATATAAATAAAATTCTCCTTCGTATTCAGTCAGTTCAGGAAACATGTCATTCTCCAGTTTAGAGATTTCATACTTAAATATGTATACGTGTATAGGTATATAGCTAGAAAGCACATTTGACTAAATTCACCAACTATTTTAGATCCCCGATCCACTTGAAATTCAATTGTTCACTTCGAGTTTTCATCCTCGACTTGGTTGATAACAAAGCTTATCACACTCGCTCTCACGCCGAGCTGTTTTATTGGCCCTAAAGTGGGGCAATATTAACCTTTTATTGCCAGCCGACATGATGAAGGGCCAGCAATAACAAATTTACCTAAAACGATTGGCAAATAAGTGCACAACAACAGATTTCAGCTGCCGCCACGGCGCTCTGACAGTTGCCATTTGCCAAATTGACAAATTGCGCATACGCCGCGTGAGCGCCAAGCAAGACTCACACTGCTGTTGGGCAGATTAATAACCTAAACATACGGAAAGGCATCAAATAAATTGTATCACATTTATGGAAGCTCAGCCAACACCGACCAATGATTCATGCCTGTCAATTGTGGGCCATGCATAACTCTTTACTCGTAAATATTTGCGCTCAATTAATATTTGCGAAAGGTTTCTCTTTAGCTTTATCGAGTGTGGGGGGTGTGAATGTGTGTGTGTGTGTATTTGACTAAGTATGGCATGCACAATGCATAATTTCAATTAAAATCACGCCAATTACTTAGGAAGTCAACTAGAGTTGAAGGCTTAGGGATCTGCATTTACCTATCTCGCATTGCAGGTGATAGACATGCATATGCAATTATTGCAGTGCTCACTCAGACACACACACACACACACACACACACGCATACACGCATACACGCACATATGATAGAGTCTTGGCAAAGAAAAAAGAAACAAATTCATCATCGAGAATGTTGAATATTGTTGCTGTTGCTGTTCCCAGTTGGCCGTGGCCGTAACTGGCAATCCTTTGGACCATCGTGATTGCTTTAATGCTACTTAAGTGCTTAACTGTTTGCCAGACGGGCGCTGCATCGGGCCCAACAACGACGACGACAACAACAACAGCAAAACGGAGGCGAGCGAGGCATCGAAAGTAATACACATAAAACCAGAAAACAAACAAGCCAAAGGAAAAAACTACTTCAAGTGCAAACTTTTCCTTTTGGGCTGAGCAAAAACGAAACGAAACCAAACGCAATGCAACGAAACGAAACGAGACGAAATGAAATGAAATGAACAGAGTTGAGAAGCGCATAGAAGCCCTCGGCGGGCAGCATGTATGTGGCATTCGAATGCATATCTAGTGCCTACACATATATAGTACATATATAGGTACATATATGTATATCGATTGCTAACTGCCGCATAAGGCAATCAGTAGAAAAACATTTCACTCTGCAATTGACTTTCATCACAAAACTTGCCAGCTCAATCGAGATATGTAAATATGCTGCTGTCCGCATATGATATCTGCATATAGTGTCTTGAGTTTGTCGACAGCACAGAGAGCGAGCGAGAGAGAGAGTGAGAGAGCGAGGGAAAGGGATAGTGGCCAGGTGTTGCGGCTCTCATGACCAAATCACGATTGTTGACAACCGCAAGCCTTAAGCCAAGCTACTGGCCACGCCCCGTCCCTCGCCCGACTCAAGTTTGCATTGGCAACTTTGTTGCCGTTGTCGCTGTCTCTTGTCTGCTGTCCGTTGTCATTGTCAGCGTCTTCGTCATTTGGGCAGCAGGCTGCAGCAACACAGCAGCCGCTGTGCAACTGGAGTATTTTAATTATACCCTAATGGCGCATAACAGCCACCTCTGTATCTGTCTCCAGCTTCCAAGTGCAGCCCCCACTTTGCCATCGCCAGCTGGGCCAGCAACGAGCTGTGAGCTGCGAGCTGCGAGCTGCTCATTACGCCCCAAAGAACTTCATTGGCTTCGGAATCCCTCTGCCGCTGCCACTTTCCACAACTTTGGCTATTTTTCGAATAGCTATTTGCAGCCCGTCCTGTCCCGTCCAGCCCGTCCACCCCACTGTTTGCAGGTAAATTTGCACTGGCCCGCAGTTAGGTGCAAATCTCCTCTCCCCCTCCCTCTCTCTCTCTCTCTCTCTCTTTCTCTATCTCTGTGAAAACTCTGCCTTTTCGACTTGCCAAGTGTAGGGTATAAGCTGAAGGGCTTATTGTCATAGCCAAAGCCGAATCTGCAATACGAATTGGTTTTTCAATTATAGATTATTAGTATTACGACATTTTTCTAGGCATTATTAATCCATACAAATTGTACTTCTCTATTTGAAAATTTGATTTTAAAATGTATTATTATCTATCATCTATTGTTCCTATTCTATAATCATTTAAATAATATTTTCTACATATTTCCAGGGCTTATTGCTATAACCAAAGCTGAATCTGTATTATATTATAATTTTCAATTATAGATTATTCATATTAAGAGATCTCTCTAGGCACTATTGTAGCGAACTCTACTATAGACTATATATTTTTCTCTGCTTGAAAGTGCGATTCATATTATCATCTATAATTGATTTAAAAATATGTATCGCATATCATCTATTGTTGTTCCCACTCTAACAATAATATTTTCTCAATTTTTCTAGAGCAAGGCATTTGGGTGTAAGCGGAAAGGCTTATTGTTATAGTCAAGGCAGCATCTACAATGTATTATTTTCCTGCTATTTTCATTTCAAGTGAATTCCATTATATTTTATAATCATATTGGAATTTGCGCTGATTTCGGCCCTATATTATATTCATATATTTAATTAGTATATACATGTATACATAGCTTGAGCAATGTCATATTTGTTCAGTTCAGACTGCACAGTATAGAATTTAGCAAGTACTGTTATTAATTTATACTGCAATCAGTTCGCTTCCATTTAAATTGCAATTTAAATTTTCTAAATTATCATTGCAATTTGATCTGTATGCACTATATATATCTAGTTGTTTTTTGCCTCCATTTTCATATAATAATATTTTGGCAAATTTGCCAGAGCAAGGCATTCGGGCTGCGCTCTGCTTGGCAGAGATTTTCCTGATTTTCCTGTTGCCGCCTTTCGCTTACTTTTGTTACCAGTTTTTCGGCAATTCTCGTTGCACTTTTGTGCACGCTTTGATTATTTTATTGCCACCCCAGCCCGGCACGGCCCGCCCGCCCCTGTGCAGACCCAGCCACGCCTGAGCTGAGCATTGAAACAAACTTCATTTTGAAATTAAAACTTTTTGGCCAAACGGCAAACGGAAAAGCGACCAAGGCAATCGCATTCTTGATTTTGTTTTCCAACTGGCTCATCAACTGGCCAACAAAACTTTGTAATTATATCAATGAATAGCTGCTGCTGGTCAGACAAGCAGCGTCCGTAAACGAAGAGAAAAAACTGGCCGACGTGTGTCTATGTGTGTGTGTGTGTGCGTGTGATAAATTTATTCCATCTGGCATGAACTCAAGCATTGCAATAGTCAAAAATCAATCAATTTTCTTATGCTGGTGCGAAATTTTTGCATTGCATTTCAATTAAATTAAATTTAATTTGATTGTGGCCAAGGCAAGGAGCACCAACAAGCGAGCCTAGCTCCATCTCCTGCGCCCCTCGCCCGCACATTCACATTCACATTCACATTCACATGCACATGCACATGCTCATCTAACGACCACTGTCCACATGGCTTTCTCTATGCTAGCAACGATAGCTCTGAATTGCTTCGTCCGTTCAGGCAACTTATAATTTTAATGCTCGCACACATACTCATGCACACAGTCGCACACACGCACACAAAATGGCAGAGACGTCTTCTTGGAGAGGGAGATAGCGCACGTCAGGACAATTTTGCTTGGATTCTCGCTTCATTTTGCATTTGCATGTTAAGTACCAATTAAATAGGACTTAAGACTGAGTTAAATGTTGACGATATGTTGCTACGCCAGCAGCAGCAGCAGCAGCAGCAGCATCAGCAACAGCATCTTCACTCTCCACCACCAAGACATTTACAAGCAAACATGTTTATTTACAGACACA